TGCGATTTGTCGCTTGAACAGAAACTGAAAGTGAGTTTTAGATCATCTTTCATTTATTATAACGCATAATATCCAAATGTATCTTATTCTTGCAGATTCTAAACTTTATGAAGAGATTTGGAAAAGTTTCATTATGTATATCAATAAGAGGCTACTTCAATGTTACGAAAAAGTTTCCAGTTAAGGTACTTTTTTAACTTTTTAAATTTTGTAAATAACTGTTTTTTTTATATATGCTTAATGTGAATCTTTCAGATGAGCAACGCTCTTCATTCTATATTTTCTGGTCTTTTGAAACTCAGATCGGCCACTGAAAATTGAAAAATTTGACATTCGTGCAAATGACGTCAAAAATGAGAAAGTCTTTATAAAATTTGATTTCACAAACTTTAAACGAGGAGATAATTCTTTTCTGTTACGTTGCACATCGATAACCAGAAGTGAAATTTCACAAATACTTTAATTACAGAATATTTTAAAGTTTTCGTTCCAGTTTGAGAGCATTCAAGCGCAGGTTTTTGGCTACCTCACCCAGGTTAATCCAATATTAGCATTTCTCTATTACACAAGTAATCGTCACTCGTTATGCAGTAACTATTATATGGTTTATTGTAAGACTCTTTTGTTGTCTGAAGAAATAAAGGTATTGTAAAAATATAAAAAGAGTAAAAATCGGCGACAAAGAAAAAGACACAGGCAAGCTTTAAGGCTTGTTCGCAATTTTTTCTATTCATTATTCAATGAAACGTTCTGTTTCTACTTACATAACTTGAAACATAGTACTTGATATGAAAATACAATAATTGAAGAATAAATTTTGATGAATCGGCATTGAAATATATCGTATTTCTACTTATTATGTACTTACTATACTTTTTAAACAGTTAGAATATCAAAAATATTACATGATAAAAAACAAGTAAAGAGAAGTTTACAAGACATTTTCTTACTTGTGAAAATCACAGTAAATATGATGTAGGAGTAACAAAAACATTACTGGTAAAAAGTAAATGAGCATCAAGCAGCTATTAGATAAGATATTATGACGTCACTATGTATGTATATTGTAGTAAAGCAAATTGTAGCATCAATTCTGATCATATATAAATCTTCTTTAAAGAAATAAATACATTTATAAAACATTTTTCAATTATAAATAATAATAATACTGTGTAAACGATATTATATTTAGATAATGTCATTAATGTTGATGCGTGTTGATGTAGACTTGTACACTATAAATACAGTGCACGAGGATTGAATTGTATTATCACTGAAAAGTCCAAAGCATTTTCACTTTAGCGAAACGCATTTGATAAACTGTAAGAATTAAAATTAGCCTTGTTTGAATGTTTTAATCTCCTTTGAACTCGGAATAAGTTGATTATATATAGCCTATATAGTGTAATAAATATATCAAATATTAAATTAGTAGTGACTTGCTCCTATACATCATATTTTTTAAATAATACAGTCGTACTGGCCATCTAACATCCTTCAGAAAAAAAAATGTTTCAATTGAAATAACGTCACTTTCGATGAAAATCCGAAGTTCATATATAGTTAATCGAGAATTTATTTATTTTTAGCACAAAAAACTCATTCAAGGGATATAAAATATGTGTATTTTAAATAATTTTGAATGGAATATGTTTACTAAACTTAAGTAGTATTGTATAATTTTGCTCCTGCTTATTAAATGTTGATAAATTGTATAACACGAGATAATATTTCGTATAGTTTTAAATTAGAAGAATAAAATTTTTAAATTTCTATAATAAGCTTAACTTTTGCTGTTGTTACTTTTTACCTGAGTACCCCTGACTCATCTACTATTATGTTAATAAAAAAGTAAATAAAATTAATACAAAATGCAAATAATTATTTATCAGTTCTGATTGCTTCAGTTTGTTTCATACAACTAAAACCTCCGAGAACTAATCACAATCAGAATTAGAATATACAAACGAAAGAAATTTCTATAATTCTACATCGCTTCACTCAGTTGTTTTTCTTTTGTAGTATTTTATGTAAAATACGAGCTGTAATTATTCAAAAATATTCAAAACAAAATAAATGCATAAATAAATTTAAAAATAAATGTAAAGTAAATAAATACGTAAATGAGATTTTTGTTTTAGTCAATGATAACATTGTTCACTGCATTGAGAAGATACTGTACTTTCAAGGTGCAGATAAAGAAGCGGCATCCCCTATTGTTCAGATAGCCAAAAGCGAAAGATGAATTAAAAAAATAATTGCTGAAATCGCTTTTTTTTGTCTTTAAAGACTTTTATTTTGTTTATAAATTTTTTGTAAAATATTTCTAGAACGTTTCATTTTTTGTTCTATATTAAATTTGCTTATAAAAATGTGAAGTGTTGAATGTACTTTACCATATTATTCTCAAAGAACTAAAATTTCTACCTACATAACTGCTTTATTTATACATACCGTGGATTCAGTCAGGCCCACAATAAGAGGGACCTGGTGGTAATAGAAGGTCTGACGGATCTCAGAAAGAGCGCCCTTGAAAGTTTCCTGGTAAGCTGCTAGACTTAATTCGATGTCGGGTCTCCCAATGCGCTTGCAGAGATCTTATTCATCTCTGTATTCGGCCGTCTGTTAGTTTGGTTGTAAATGGAGTAAAAATATAATATACATTTATTATTAGTTACAAATTGTTAGTCCTTAAGAGGCCGAGTAGATAAAACCAATAAACACTGATTCGCATCTTTCCAACGGGCTGGCCATTTCACGCCTTCCGAGTGTTTTTCTACGTTTGTAACACCTAAATAAGTACTAGTTTCCAGTAGAAACTATTCCCATAATAATTACGAATAATTTTCTGCAGAAATAATTTCAGTAGTGATAGCTAAAACTTTAACTCTTATTAATAAACATCTTTTTATTTTTGTGTTTTTACAGACAAAAAAGAAGTTGTTCATTAGAAATCTTAGTAGATCATACATACTTCGAATATATGGAATTTAACGTGAATAGAACAGTTGCAGAAGTTCAGTTCTACACCATGTTTGCACAATATGTGTTCCTCAACTCGGACATTGATCAAGACGGTAAGCCGGATGGCATCGGTTTCAATATAGATAAAATAACAATATTTGGAAGTAATGATGAACCAGGATATCTACTAAACACTAACACGAACAAAGAAATGGAATTTTTGGAACATATATCTCAATATAGACACATGTCTTGCATGTTGATATGTTTCACACGTAGAGACTTTTGGAAAGATTCGGTCTGTTCTAGTGGAAGAGTCAGCAAAATATGAGCAATTTGCTTCGAGGACGATGATGATACTTTGATACGTAGTAATGTATCTATTACAAATTAAGAAAGAAATTTAACAATACCAAGGTTTAAAGTTGCTGCAAATTTTGTCCATCTGTAGGGCCATGCGTTTGGTTGTAAACATGGTCCTATGGATTTATAAAAATGCAATCCAGGAAAATCAAAGGAATATATCATGCATGAAGATGTTCCTTTTCAAAGCGAAAATAATTGGAGATTTTCAAGTTGTTTGAAATCAATACAGGAAATAATTAAACTAAAAGGTAATGCTATGTATTTAATTCTGAACATGTAAGTATATAGAATAAAACTTAAGTTTAGTCAATTAGTTTGATTACCTGGGATATTTCCAGTAAAGTAAGACAGGCATTAATCTAAAGTAATATACCATAAAAAACAAAGCCCACTACTAACGGAGTGGATTTAACATAAAACCATTGAGCATTTTTAGTCACTGGTTTGCGCCTTGCTACTAGTTCTTTTTTATGAATCTAATACATAGATATAGGCCTATATCCAGTAGAATATCTCCACTTTTCAGAGAGCTCTTCTATGGATGCCAATTCTCTGTGAATACAGAGAATCAGCCATAGAAGAACTCTTTTAAAAACTATAAAAGAGCTCTCATTGCCTTAACATTTCAATCAACTACCAATTTTTGGTATTTTTATCCACTTAGCTACTGGTGGTCGGCCTTCTTATGTAATGTAAAAGGAACTTGAAATTTTCATTTATATTTGTTAATGAGGTATCGAATGATTTTACATGATCATTAAAATTAAAGTAGGGTTGCAATTAATAGATTTTATAACATTTTTGTGAGTATATAAACAATCTATTTTTTTATATTACCGTACTGTACTAATCTTTAGTACACGGAAAACTACTAGTTTTCCATTCGTTTCTGACTTTTGGAGGCTTAATAAGTCCCGAGTCCGTAGACTGGTATAAAAAATTAAAAAAGATAAACAGGTTAACAAGGAAAATATAATTTTATTTTTATATAAATATATACTTCACCCCAAATGCATTTCGCCTGTCAAGGCCTCTTCAGTAGGGTTTCTGACGACTAGAGTGTACAATAGGAACAGCAGAAGGTATCTCAGACGACACATTTTTTTCCGTCGTAGACACAGAAGAAGACACATTTTTTTCCGTCGTAGACACAGAAGAAGACACATCTTTCTCACTGATACCATCGCGTTTACAATCTTTAAGTAACACAAACTCTTCCCAGCATTCCGCTGGTATCACCCCATTATTCAAATTCATTACATTACTTTGCATAATTATCGCGAAATGTTCTTTAAATTTTCTTTTTACAATATTTTTCTCTTTATGTATTATTTTTACATTATTAATATCTAATTGACAGTTGTTAACATGGCAATGCAAAAATACCGGGGATGTATTAATTTTATTTCGTACTGCTGCCAAGTGTTCCGACATCCTCACTTTTAGTTTCCGTTTCGTTTCTCCAACGTAGTAATACGGTACTCCACAAGTACATTGAAGCCTGTAAACCACTCCATCTTCTTCCAATAAATCTTTCTTACTGTAAGGTTCAGTTCTAATTAATTCAGATAATCTATTTTTTTGCAATGGAGCCAATTGTATTAAGTTTTCACAGAAAATTTTTTTTATATTTTTCGAAAATACCTTGGATATATGGAAAAGAAACATACTTTTTACTTTCTTTTTGTTGCTTTACTTGAAATCTTCTTTTTGAATATTCATCATACCAGTTCCTCAGCAATCTTTTCGGATAATTGTTCAACAAGTACTTCTTATTTATTTTTTTGAGTTCTTCTATTCTTTTTTCACTTCTGGTTGTTCTAAAAAATATCTTTTTTACTTCCATTAAATAAATATTTCTTTTCTGATTAATTGGACAATACGATCTAAAATTTATAACTTTGTTTGTGTTACAAGGTTTTTCATACCTACTATACTCCAAATGATCTTTAAACCTGGTTATTGTGATATCCAAATAATTTAGACTATCTAATTTTTCACACTCATAGGTGAACTTAATATGTTCATTAATTTCATTAGCTTCTTTTAAGATTTTTTCTGGTGATGTTATTTTACTATTATAAATAATAAATATATCATCGACCGCATATAATCATCTGGAATACTCTTTTCAGTTAGGTTTACCACCAGATTTTCTTGCCACTCTCTGTATTCCGATTCTAAAGGATAATCAAATAATTTACATAATCTTTCATTTTTATTTTTTATGTATTTATTTATAGTCTTTGCTTCTTTTCTCTTACTTTTAATGTTTAATTTAATTTTTAACTCTTTAATCTTTTTATTTATATTATTAATTAATTTACCTTTTTTATTTATTATTGATTTCAATATTAATCTTTCTATCTTCCATATATCTTGTTCATTGATGTCTTTTCTTATCGACTTCTTTAGTTGTAATGTTCTTGGAGTGATTTCTTCACGAAGATGGCACTTAAAAAATTGTACATCCTTTAAATATTTTTCTCTCTGTTCCGTGTACTAAAGATTAGTACAGTACGGTAATATAAAAAAATAGATTATCTGACTCCATCGATTCTTTTTAGAATATTTTTATTGATATATATAAACAATCTATTTCTCTACATTTCATGGATAAGGTATATTAATACATTTTGCTATAAAATAGATACCTAAACTAAACTCTAATTTGGAAAATGACGACAAAGTATTGATATATCACTTAATGCTAAACAGTAAAAAATTGTTTCGTGAAAATTTTCATAATAAAATAACTTTATTTTATCAATTCAAAAGACGAAATTACTTTAAGCAACATTTATAAAAGTTCAAATTATAAAAACTCCGATTGCTTCATCTTTGGCAATAATAAAAACTGAAGAAAGATATTCTACTGGCGTAGTATTTAGTCTGTATTTAAGTGTTTATATGTGACTTGAAGACAACTGAAACAGAAGATTGTTGAAAAAATTCGATTTTTTTAGTCTGCTAAACAAATCGGTAAGTCTACTTGGAGATCCTCAAAATTATTTCACGTAATTTGAATTTTGTTTAATAATTATAAGAAAGATCGGATATCTACTAAACACTAACACGAACAAAGAAATGGAATTTTTGGAACATATATCTCAATATAGACACACGTCTTGCATGTTGATATGTTTCAAACGTAGAGACTTTTGGAAAGATTCGGTCTGTTCTAGTGGAAGAGTCAGCAAAATATGAGCAATTTGCTTCGAGGACGATGGTGATACTTTGATACGTAGTAATGTAGGATCTATTACAAATTAAGAAAGAAATTTAACAATACCAAGGTTTAAAGTTGCTGCAAATTTTGTCCATCTGTAGGGCCATGCGTTTGGTTGTAAACATGGTCCTATGGATTTATAAAANTTTAACTATTTTATTTTATTCTATTGTCCTCCAAATGCTTGAAAAAAACAAAGTTATCCTTGTATGGAAATGGAATTATTGAAGAAGGCGAAGCTTGTGATTCCGATCACACAACAGACAATTGCACGCAACACGAACAGTGTTGTATTCTTAAAAGTTCTCCCAATCATTGCACTGTTAAACACGAAAGAAACATTGACTGCCCATTCAAGTCAGCAGAATGCTGCAACAAGTACTGTAAATTTTCTCAAGTAACTGAAGGACGGCCGGGTTATAGTAACGTTACCTGCTTTAATGCAACTACCGTCTGCAATGGTACTTCACCATTTTGTCCTGGAATTTTAGAAGCTGATGGAATACCTTGTCTGGGGACATCACGAACTTGTCAGAAGGGTTACTGTGTCAGTAACGTTTGTGAACTTTACGAGTTACAACCCTGCGAGTGTCTATCCCTCGAAGAAGAATGTCACATCTGCTGTAAAACGGAGACTAATACATGAAAAACAGCTAAAGAATTTAAAATTTTCCCCTCAGAAAATCAGTTATATATTAAGAAAATGGGCACCCGTTGTAATAAAGGATACGGAAGTTGTATGAAGTAAGTAGTTAATAAAATATGTATTTACATTTCCTATAATAATTTATTTCTTTTTATTTTTCAGCTATGAAATTTGTAAAATAGAAAAAAAGAATTATTTAATTTGGTATATTGTCTTCGCATTGCCGTATCTTTTGTTTACTGCGTGGGCAATATTCTTCACTCGTACTCAAAAATAAATGAAGACTAATTAGAAATAATATATATTTGAATAAAAAAAAAGTGGAAACTTCATGCTAATGTATTTTTAAAGTATTAATAAATTAAATCATTTTAAACTGTTTTTAATTAATATCAGTACAAATATTGTTAAGTGCATAACAGAACAAAATACAAAAACAAAAGAAATACAAAAACATACATACAAAAACATAAGAACTGTTTGTTGATTTGGTTATTTTGTATGCATTTCAATGAGAAACGTTACCCAAGAAATGGCTTCCCTTTGGAGGCGGATTTTGCTGTAAGTTCGTATTATATTTATAGCCAATTAAAGAAATATTACGGAAAACCAGAGAAAACGAAATCTAAAATAAACGTGAGTAAATCGTGATTTAATTTTTATTATTTAATACGAAAATAGGTATTTTTACATTTTTTAAATAGAAATCATCTATTATGTAAAAGAACTCATTGTTTGATAAAATGGTTTTAATACAGCTAAGTAAGCAAGCCAATGACATAATCATAATTCGTTTCATCTAGAGTTCAAGATGCCGTCTGCTGCTTATCCATTCATTTATATAACACTAGTAGCCCGGGACGCCCCCTAGTGGACGTTTTAGCAGTATTACAAATTCCTATGAGGCATGTTTAAAGCAGCGGCAGCTTTACGTTTCTCCACAGTGGCGTATTTCTTTGGTTGTGCCATGAAAGGTTTCTATTATTATATTAAAAAATTAGCTTAACTATTTGAAACCTTATCGTTTTATCGTAGCGGTTCAAATTTATTCGGTTTTTCGTTATTCGCCTCCTAGCGAACATTACAGGCATTCCGTGAAAATAATAAATTCCTATTACAAATATAATGAATTATTTATATTGTTATATTGACCAAATAATAATTTATTGGCCAAATGAATAATAATAATAAATTAAAATTGTTAATTTAATTTGAATGTTTTAAATATGACACACGATAGGGGCGCCTCTAGTGTCCGTTATCAAACGGTTACGGGACAGACGGACAGTAGAATGGGTTATATATATAGATTAGTTTAAAAATACTACTTTTTTCGAGCAGCCTAAGACAAAGAGCCTAATAATCCTTCATATTGGGCTTATGTTCGGGCCTTATATCATTTCACAGTTAGTGAAAGTTTGTTCAAATTTAGTGAAAACCAGAGTTTGAACTAATGAAAAGCTTATCTACGATTTGTCGATAGTGCTGCTAATACTTGAGTCGATACGCGAACGGTCAGAGTACCAAGTTTATACTGTATATAATTTTTATTCGAGATTATATTGTAACCTGATTCATAAGGTTAAATTATTTTTTATAAATACACAGCTTAGTTAAACAGTATTTATGAAGGTGAGTGTTGAAAGCAATGTAAAAAAAAGACAATGAGCAAACGGATTTTTATAAAGTTTTTTTATACAGTAATTTGATTTTTCTCTTAAACTCTTCCCGTTCTACGGGAACTAAATAAGACATTTTTCGGTTCGGGTTACCTCAATGGACGACTAGCTGATGAGAGAAGGCCTAGCATATCCGGAACAGATCGTTCCCAAGAAATTCGCAGCTTGCTAACCCGGATTACTTAGAGAGTTGTATTCTTCAATATTGACTGAACTTTCGTTAACTTCGGTTTATACACAAATTGTAAACTTGCTAAAATGGATTCGACCAGAGAAAACGGAATAGATAAATATGTTCTGTATTTTCTATGTAGAGTAAATGCAGCTAATAGGGACCACCGTGTTGTCTTTGATCTGTTACTATTAGGTAACTGCTGCAATTGAACCAACATTGTGATTAAAGGTGCAAAAACGGATATCCAATGATATCACAGAAGCATTTTTATTAGTATACCGTACATTAGTTTCAGTATGAAAATACGCAATGTCAAAAAACGTAAAAGTGAAGGTAATATGACCCACAGCTGGTAGTAACCAATGTAGTTTATAGTACCTGCACATAATTCATATTGCAAGGCTTCTAAAAACAGTTACTATTTTGCACAAAATTTATTTATTCAGAGGTGTGTCTTTTTTTCGCATTAACACTTATTTTATGTGTCCAACGCCGACACTTCTGAATTTATTCATTACTAAGTATTAAAAATGTGGCTTACTTAAATGACTACGAAACAGGCAAAATAGATGCCTGAAGTCATTTTCCGAAGTAAAATAGCTCAAAGATTACAAATTTTGACAGAAAAAAAAAGATCGACAGGGAAGTTGAATTCTAAACTATAAACAAAAGTTCGACAACAAAGGCATACACTTCAATTTGCTTCGAGGAATTAATACTCTGTAAGGCAAACAAAAAGGTTGTATTTCAAAATCAACTGTTAATCGCACTTTTTTGTAATCTGGAAAAGAAAAATTGAAAAGAACGAAGACAAGTTCTTGCCTTAACGACAAAGAAGCTAAAATAACACGGGCCAAAAATCACATAACATGGAACAAAGTTGTGCCGAAGCTATTTTCAGTGACAAAAGGTTGATTCAGACGGACCAGGTAAGCTTAAATTTTGCTGGCACTATCTACAAAAGAAAACTACTACTGATAAAGGATTCCAAATGTAAAATCATTAAAGTTTGGGGTGGCATTGAATTTAAGGGCTTTTGTATAATTAGATAGCAGGGTGAACTCTGTTGACTATCAGAACATGCTTCAAATTTATTTATTGCCATATGCCACCAAATCTTGTAATAGGAATTGTATATTTCAACAACGATGGTGCTTCAGTTAACGTCTCTCAATCGTCCAGAGTATTTTGGACTTCCTTGCATTAAGTCCGGACATAAATCTGATGGGGAATTTGTGCGAGATTATTATATAATAACTGTAGACAATTTTTAATGTGACAGACTTTAAGGTTATAATTCGTGATGTTACCAACATAATTTTAAAAATTTGTACGTTTAATGAGGGATTCGAACTCTGACTGGTATCACACGAAATCTAATCTCACTCGATATTACACATGACTCTGTCTCTCTTACCTCTTGATATTTAATACGCAAAATTTAATAGCATCAATTCACCTAATACAGAAATTTTAAAAATCTTCGACGGAAAGCACAGAAATTATTTAGCTTCAAACAAAGCAAACAAAATCGTGTCCCCCGCACGCACTAAGATCCATACATACAGAAAAAGAACCAGATTTTTTTTTTTTTGAATTTCTCGAGGTTTAAGGTGTCCTCAGCCCAAAAATGTAAAAATCTGGGTGAGTCATCTTTTGGCAGATCGCCATGCTTTCCCTCTGTTTTATATAAAAGGACTGGGGAAATAAAAATATGAAAGAATACAATTGTGTAACATTTAATTGGCACAGTATTTAAAACAACATTGGGTTTTATAAACTCCAAAATTCTTTTAAACACATTCTCCAGGAACAACATGAAATTTAGTAAGTTTAAATTAATGGAATAAAGTTACTCAACCTATGTCTTTAGATACTTAAATTACTAAAGATTAAGAATTTGTTCAATGATAGCTTCCTGTTAACAGTTTACTTCCAATTTGATCACGTTACCTTATGTATTAAAAACATATGGAAACATGTTTTTAATACACACAAATGTTTTTAGATTCATTGTTTTACTAGCTGTTATGCCGAGCTTTTCCCGAGTTTATAAAATATATCTGGCGTTATTGATCGTAAATTTAGAAAAATATAAGTGGAAAATATCGAGTTTATAGATAAATTATTACAATAATTTTGATTTATTTGGTTATGGTACACGACACTTAGGCGACCTGTTCAGTAGGATGTATTCCAAAACAAGTGTTATGGTAAGTAGCTTCTGTTTAGGTATTAGTGTAAGAAAGCCGAAAAACTGTACGTGGCCAGCCCATTAGTAAAATACGATCCATGACCAATTAACAGTTTTCAATCAGCTCATGTGAATGCTATGTGCTACTTATAAAAGTAATAATATAGCACGAAGAGGAGGGGCGTTATATTATTACTTTTGTGTTACAGTAATTAAGAAAATAAACTGTAATATTTGTTTTTTTAATTATATTTCTTATAGGAATTATATTCAGTTTATTACTATTTAATTAAAGAAATTTTGCTAACAGATGGCGATAAATGCAAAACCAACAAATTCGATATAAACAGAATTTGATTGCTATATAAAAACCCAATTAATATTTTGGGATTGGATTAAGTCATTATACAAGTTTTATAAATTCTAACGTAACTGTTGAATGACAGAGCAATTGATCAAACGGTATAGGTGTGTATAGCGAACAAACAAACAAACATTCTCATAAATAGATATAGATGAATGGCACTGGTACACTATGTCTCAAAAATAGATAATACATATATAACTATAGTAGAGCATCGTTTATCCGAATCAATTAGGGACTGCGGTTGTTCGGATAACTTATTTTTCGGATAATCGATTATGTCTGAAAAAATATTCAGTAGACCCCCATAACAGGGGTTCCTATAATTACGATTCCTATTAGACGGCAAAAAATTGCGACGGTATCCGTACAAACCTGGTAAAAAACTTCTATAATTCGGTAAAATATCATCGAGCAGCCAAACTACTTTCCTCTGTCCAGCTCCACGCTACAGAAAATTTACGCGGGTAAATTGAGTTTACTATCATCTATACAGTATTATATATTAATTATATATAAATTAGGTACTGTATATAAAATTATATATTAACTTAATTTATTGTAACCTTATTATAATTATATATATACTTTCCGTTGTCCAGCGCTACACTACGGAGAGATTAGGCGAGTAAGTTGTTTACTATCGTCTGTACAGTATGTAAATTAGGTACCGTAAGCAGGGGCGTGCCGTNATAATATTATAAATTTTAAACATATTTTTAAGTGATTAAAAACAAAATGAGATAAATCAGTAACAGATTATGAAATAATTTCTTTTTTATGAACAAATATCATTATAATAGTAGTGACAAAGCAAACTAAACCGATGTAAACAATCGCCGAAATAAACACCGAATTAATCATCCAAAATGTAAATAGGTAGAGTTTCTTGCTGCAATATTGCTGATCGTATTTATCGTCGTAAACGGGTGGATACATTTCGTACACCCACACGCAACCTAAAATAATTATTGATGTAGAAACGGTAAGAGAAAAACAAAGTACTGTATTTAATAATTTTACCTAAAATAAACCAAGACAACAAAAATATGAGTAGTGTTATAAGAGGAATCTTTAAATATGTCTTCCTTTTCTTAAAATTTTCTACAAATCGAATAGTGGCAAAAAGTATGGTCTCGATGAAAATTCCTATACCCCCAATTATCAAAAATATTGGCACCTTATTCTGAGCTGGACATTCTGTTAAGTACGTTACACCTGAAACAACCGCAGAAATGGGTGTAAACAATTCTATAATCTCTTACAATGAATTTTCATACCGAATGAAACCATCAAGAATGGAATTACGATGAAGAATGACAAAACTAATAAGTACGAAACTGAAATGAAACCATGATGAAATTGTTTAAGGCTGCAGATATCATTTAGAATGCATTTTTTGTTATTAAACATACCAATCTTGAACATAATTTTATTTACAGCTTTCATAACTTCGAACATTTTATCAGATTCGATTTGCTGTTTCAGATCTTGAGGAATAAGCGATTCCTGATATCCTGACGTTAATGAATTTAATTGATATATAAAGATATATTTATTAATTAAGTAATTTTTTCATTTACCTAAAAGAATTGTAGCATGATATTCTCGTTTCTTTTTTCCATTCATCTTTTTGTGTTTCGCTTTTTTAGAAAGTTCAGCATCTTGTTTAATTGAAGTAATTGCTTCAGGTGTTTGAAATTTAGATTCTTCTTTAACTACTATCTCCTAAATAAATGTTTAGTTGCATTATATTTTGTAAATTTTTTATGAATTATAATTAAAATATAAAGTAAATTAGAAAATAAATGCACTTTTGTTTTATTTTTATGTAATTTTTCTGCTTATATGAAACATCAGCAAACCACAGAAAGCCATTACAGCTTCAATCCTTACTCATTAGAGACCTGCATGATCCTTAATTACAACACTACAAATAGTTTTTATGTTTACTATTTCCTTTCTATGGGCAAGAAGACGTTCTTTGTTAGGACTTATGGTGACTTTGGCCATTCCCATAACAGGTGAGCAGCTAGTGATGGATCCTAGAGACTAATATAACCAAAGCAAACTCTTCCTGAAAAAGTCCAAGGATTTTTCGACAGTTCTTATTCTATCCCAGGCCCTTAATCTCGAGTTTTTCGTCTTGTACTCGAATTGACGTAATCGAACTAACTCGTGTTATGACTCACATAATCGGTAGTCTTGAGTTAGACCCATCGAGCGAACTCGAAATGGGAGCATTAGGTGTGTCGTTAAGCATGATGGGATTATTTACAATGCATCTGAGTTTGCGACTATAATGATTCGACCAATCAAATTTACTGTAAAAAGTTTTATACAAATCAACGTCAATTAGTTTAGATGTGTTATAGTTAAAAGTTTTGTCTTATAGTAAGTAATATATTACGCAGAAAAAAAATGGAAAATCTCCAATGCTTTACTTTAAAAAATAAGCAAACAGAACAAAAGAATATATATTGAAAATAATAAGAGAATGAACAGTGGAAAATTCGACAACGAATTTACAAGAAAAAGTCAATTTGATTTGTGGAGAGAATTAGTTCGAAAATTAATTGTGTATTGGAACTAAATAATCCGTTGTGTAATGGAAAAGGTATTCTAATTTAATTTCTTTTTTATATAGTTTTCTTCCTTGATCTATTTCATAAATTGTTTTGTTTATTAAGATTATTTAAAAATCCGAACTTAACGCTTCTGATTAATAAATAATCTTATTATAGTGCCTATACTCTTAATAATTTACACATATAATTTACTATCATTTTAATTTTCTTTTTCGATGAATTAGTTACTTTTTTTTATTTTTGGAAAAATTTGCTGTATAATTTTATTAATTATGACATAAAAATTTTTTATTAGAGTTGACTTGACAGGAAAAGAAATGACATCTACTTGTAATCGAAAAATTCATTGCCTTAAACAACTCTCTCGGCCCTTTCTAACGCTTTGATTGCGGCCAGAATAGCGTACCTGTCAGCCATTTTCACTTTCGTGTAGCGATCTCACATGCTCGACTCAAAGTGAGTAGCAACTCGCATGTAAGATGGGATAGCACGTGAGTTATAACTCGAGACTACCGATTTGACGTCAGCGTTTCAGATGGTACCACGGGACACCTTCAACACGTTGGGAATTGTAAAATGAAAACTCGAGACTAAGGGCCCCGGACTCTTTCATTCATAGCAGGGATATGTTATGTTAACACTAACGATCATCCAGTCAGCAATTGTTAAAGTAGTTTACTCATGCAATGTACATTCTTCAAATAGTCTAAAATGTTATCCAAATCATACAGGAGTGCGCCCTGGCAATAAATGTACAGCAATGTCTGCAACATCCATATCACAGATAAATTACTAAATTTTGTAATAACATAAAATGTTCAGTATCTCTGCACAATAGGGACTGGTTAGTCCGGATTAGCGAACATCTAGTGTATGTTGTAAAATTTAAGTTATGATCTCCAAGAAATTTCTATCAGTTACTTACTTTGAATTCCATGAAATTGCTATCAATTACTTACATTGAGGCTTCCAGTTATTTGCTCCTCTTTAAACTTTTGAGAACATTTTCTTTGATCTTTCGAATTACTGTTAATGGTTTCTTCAGTAGTTTTAATAATTTGTTTATCCTATACACAATAATAAAACGTTTCATTTTTAATATTAAATAATTAATAATATATTAATCAGAAAATATCAGTTTTCAATTACTTGCTCCTCAAAAATGTCTTCTTTCGATCTTTCACTGTTTTTGTTATTATTTTTTATCGGCATATTGAAAAGTTATCAACAATACCATGTGACAATAAAATTAAACTAAACAAGAAAATACGTTATTTCATTGTTATGATGGTTTTGTAAATTTAAGTCAGTAAAATGTAAAAATTTTGATGGACATTCTATTCGTCATTTAAACCGAACCAATTCAGTGCTTTTGTGGAGCGCCAAAATAAGGTGAACCATTGCAAATTTACCATATGAAGGTTAGGAATTACACATATGAAACATGAACAAACTACTATCACAGAAGTAAAACGCTATACTATCTGGTACATCGAAATTAAATTTATCTTCGTTCTAAAAGATAACCTACATGACAAAAATGTTGCTTCTTGTGCTAGCACGATAGTTCTAAACGAAACAATAATTTACCTTATTCCATTGAGTGGCCATATTTTTCGTCACAAAATGGAGTCGGGCAGATTTGCGCACGGCCGTAAGAAAGGAGCACTGCTCATTGGAAACCGAGCAATGTTGTTGTTGTTGTGTAAAACCATTCGAACGGTTTCGTGATGTACTTTGATACTCAAATCGTGACGATTTTGAAGCGTGGACGCAGTAAATAAAAGGCTGCATTATCAGTTTCTCTGTGGTCTAGCTGTGTAAGCTTTGAAACACGTCCACTTTAATGTTTTTGTCCATAATTTGCAGGATTTGACAAACAATGCTTAACGACCTTGTTCGAACTCTTGATGCAGTTTGCTACTACCTCGTAATTTAAACAAATGCTTCTCAAATCTACAATCTATCCTTTCTGAAAGTCTGTTAAATGGGTACATCAAGCATGATAGAAAAAACATACGAGAAATGAAGCGGTTCTATAGTTATGTGGTAGTATGTAGATTGATTTCATCGCTATTCCGCAGTCAGCCACGAATTAGAGGCTCACGTACACGGGCTGTAGGTTCGTGGCTGACAAATTGACTGTGTTTACCTCATGTTGCATTTAAAGTAATCCGTTTTTTTTTCATATAACTGTCCTTCAGGTATTCTTTTCTGGTAAATTATTCGACTGTCTTTGTTGGCTTATACAAATGAACTCTTCTTTAAAAACAGTGTTTCAAAACAATGCAAAAGACTTTCTCGTTTTTTTAAGAAGCTAAACCCTTTTCTATTAGAACTACTCGATCTTGGATGTTTCTTACTTCGTAATTATTAAAAATTAAATACAGTGGAACCCCGGTTAACGAACTTAATTCGTTCCGCGACTCCGTTCGTTAACCGAATTGTTCGTTAACCGAAGCAATTTTTCCCATAGAAATTAATGCAAATGCAATTAATCCGTTCTAGTCTCCGAAATTTTTGTGATTTTATTTGTAATATACAGTAATTTTCTTTGATGAAAATGTAAGAAAACGTAGTATGTATCATTACAGCAACAAACATGTAACCTTTGTTTAATAAACTAGCACTGTACATACCTTCGTTTGTTGTAGGTGGTGGCAGAAAAGTGGAGATATACGAACCTTAATGCTTAGAAGGAGAATTTCCTCCAAAAAATAACGGGTAGCACTTCATTGGAAGATTCTTCGAGTCGAAGTCTCTTTCGGTAAAAAAA